ACACACACACACACACACACACACACACACTAAACTATATCTATCCTGGAATGTTGCCATGGCTAAAGTAGAAAGCAGCAGCTCTTTAACAGTACTTAAATCCCTATTAAATAATGGACACGACTATTTGATACTGAACAAGGTGACCTATGCAGTTTGAAAATGGCTGAAACCGGTTTGAGATGTCTGATACTACATGCAACCAGGTTAAACTGGTTTGAGCCAAATCGGTTAATGCAATGTCTGTCCCAGACCCCCTTGCTGGTTTAAATTAAATCCGAGTCCCCCAGCATCCCGGCATACTCTCTGGGCTGGACAGGGCTCTCCGCTTCACAGCAGGGCTGGCCCCTTCCCTCTAACTCCCTGGGTGCAGCTTTGGTACAGACTTACAGGCACAGTAGGGTCTGCTGGCTTCCCCCTGCCCCCCTCTCACCACTCGCTGCTTAAGCAGAGATCCCTTCTAAGTATGTTTATGAAAACTGCTACTGGCAAAGGTACTACAAAAAGGTCAGATTCACAGCATACCATCTGAGCCACAGATTTTCATTTATAATTTTCTATTACTGAAATTGCTTTAAGAGATTTTTTTTTTTGTGCGTGTTGCTCACAGGAGGAGGGTAATGCCCCCAAAAAGTGGGGAGCTCCTCATGCAATCCTGTGAATGCCAGTTCCACCCTTTGGAAAACCCTCTTCTCCAGTTACCTCCCAGTTACACTAGGACTGGTTGTTCAAACATCAGTGCACCACAAGGAGCCCTCAGCCCCACTGCACTCCATGACAGCCATGGGGATACCGCATCCCATTCACTCCGTGGAGTCACCTGGAATCACCAGAAGAACAGCAGCCCTGAAAGGACTAGCTAGGCCCTGTTGGTGAGACCAGGGTCAACTCCATTAAGAGTTCCTGCTGAAAGGGCTGCCCACTGAGAGGCTGCTTTGAGGGGCTGCCCACTGAGGGGTGAGCAGGGACCCCAGTGGTCCTATGTGGGCAGTCAGAACCAGGCATGCAGGGTCCAAGGATGCAAGCTGCCCTGAGGAGGTAATGGGTTGCAAAGGTGTCATCACCTCATGAAGACCTGCAGATAACACAGTGCTACTCCATCCCATGCAAACTATCAGGTATGCCTATGGGGGGAAGGGTGGGGGAGAAAATTGGGGACACGTGAGAAAGACGGGGGCTTAACTTGTGACATGCCTGCCATACTTGTTGGCCACTACTGCTTTGTAGAGGAATAAGTGAATGGGGCACATGGTGATCTATCCTGTCATACCTCCCTGGAAATCAGCCACTAACCCTGGTATTTATATTATTCATATATCTAGACAGATAATAATAGCTTGTAAAGCCTTCGTAAAAGGAAGCAAAGCAGAACTCTAATAAAGAAATGGCCCTAATTCAGGACATGATTAGGCAGAAACTTTCAATAACATGGATAAAGTAGTCAAGTAAGATGAGTGGAGTAAAGGAAACAAGAGCTGAGATATACAACAGGGTAAATTGTAGAAAGCCCTGAAAACCTTGAATTTGTTTCAAAATATGGGATCTCTACCAAGAAAGCCAATATGTAGAGGCTGATATCCAGAAGTTCAGGCCCTGACTGCGGAGGACACACTTGATTAAAAACACCAACCCCATTTCCTGGTCTACTCAGGTCTGAACCTACTTCACTTGACAAGATTATAGTACAAGGAAACATTGCTTTCAGCATACAGATGCAGCACATGGGATGCTGAACAGCTGCACTGCTGTTCATAATATTGTAAAATTGGGCCTAGTACAGAGAGAAAAGAGAACAAATGATGAACAAAAAGCAGCCTTTAAAAAACATGAGACTTCACAACACAGCTTTAGGCAGACAAAAAAGTAGAAAGATTTTTTAAGTAATGAAACTGGGACATAGATTCCCCTTTGATAGTCAGGCGTTGAAGTGGGGGGTGGGGAGGCAGGGGAGGACTCTGAAGAGGAAAGCAGGAAAATTTTAAAAAAAAAAAACACACAAAAAAACCCCCTATTTCTATAGGTAAGGAAACAAAGTGCTCAGCACCCAAAGAAACACGTGAACAAGATCTCTCGGCCCATGGAACAGTAGGAAAAGAACCCCCATGAATTTGCAAAATGCAACCAGATGGCAGCAATGGCGTTACTATATTTTTGGCTGACCAGTGGCAGCAGAACCAAGAGCAATAAGTATCGCTTGGAACAGAAATCAGCAACCCCTGGTTTGGATCCAGCCTGCAAACAGCATGGATGTGGCCTGAGGCAATCCAACCTGACCTGTTGTGCATGCAGGATTGAGTGGCAGAGAGCTGCACCAAGCCACACATCCCCTCCAAAACACCCTCCTCAGCAGCTGTTCTTGCTGCTCTATACCTGTGCTTACTATCGCAGTACAGCAGTCATGTATCTGCAGTAAAGAAAGCACAGGAGGTCTGAGTTCTGGAGGGGTAGGTTGGGGAACTAACAGATGGACAGATCTGTGGTCTATGGCAGGGAGCCCAGTGGCAAGCTCTGACCCAGGATGGCATGAAAACTCGACTACCCAATAGGGCTGCGCAAAACAGCACCATTCCACTTCGACTACCATTTCAACACTTCAACAGAACAGTGTTTCGTTTCGAGTTTAGTTTAGTTTTGAAAGCACTGTTCTGTTTCATCAAAACAGTTTTGCTGTTCTAATGCCGTCTTGATGTTTCACCCATAAGCTATAATGGGGAAGCACAAAACTGAAGGAGGAGCAGCCTCCTGTGATCGCAGGCAGATCGGGGGCCCACACCCCAGAGGAGTTCAGCAGAGTCCCGTAGCCCTCCTGGGGGTGAGGGCTGGAAGCTGCTGCTGCCACCTGGGACTGGCACTGGTAGCTGAACCCGGTGGAGGGAGGAGCAGCGCAGCTGTGGCACTGCTCTCCACTTCCCCCCACCAGGCTCAGTTCCACAGGGCTTGAAACTGCTGGGTGCTGAGCCTAATGAAGGGAGGCAGTGCACAGCCCCGGGGCTATGCACTGCCTCCCCCCGCTGGGCTGCAAGCCGCTGGGTGCCAAATCCAGTGGAGGGAGGCGGAGCGCAGCACCGGGGCTACGCTCCGCCTCCCTCCACCAGGCTCAGCAACTCACAGCCCCGTGGAACTCAGCCCAGTGTGGGAGGCAGAGTCAGCTGTGCCGGCCTCCAAATCACCAGAATGAGCTCCATGGGGCTGCTGGACCTATGGGAGTGCAGCCCTGCGGCGGGAGGCAGGCAGAGCTGGTGCTGCGCTCCCATCGGCTCCACCAGCCCCACGGAGTGCAGCCTGGCAGCGGGGAGAGCCATGGCTGCGCTTCCTGCTGAGCTGAGCCACATGGGCTTGCAGAGCCTCTCGGAGCACAGCCCTGGCTCTCTCCTGCCTCCTGCCACCTAGATGCTGCTTTGAAACTCAAAACTTTTTTGAAACTTGCAAAACATTTTGACTGGCCTCATTTCATTTCAAGGCAGTTTTGAAGCCCTTCATTTCAATTTCGCTGTTTTGAACTCAAACCGAGTCAAAACAGCGTCAAAACAAAGTAGCCAGTGAAGCTTTGCACAGCCCTACTACTCAAGACCTAGAAGGCTCGAACAAACAAAAATATCCCCTACAAAACAAAGCAGTGGTACATTGCCACAGAACATACAAAAACCTGCTGCGCTATATTTGAATATGTGCAGTAGAGGATTCTACAGGACATGTGGAACCACAGAGTTTAAGAGCAGGATCAAAACAAGAATTAACAAGGCCACAGTTACATTAGGTAGATTTCTCCTGCCAGGTATGCAAGTAAGGGTGCAATGGGATCTGATGCATGATCCACACAAATCACACTTCTTGCCATATCACAAGTACATGGTGGGAGGCTTGATTGTAGGACCAAGCATTGGTTCCCTTCACACCTTATTGCCAGTGTAGGAGGAACTTGGGATCCCACTGACCAGGCAGGTAGCAAGCTCCCACAGCTGGGAATCCACACAGCTAGTGGGGCTCCTAGCTGAAGGGGTGCATAATATATTCCCACAACTGAGAGCCCCATGAGCTGACAGGGCTCCCAGCCACAGGTGCGCACCTGGCCAAATATATAAAATTGATGTCATAATAAAGAATCAGTGTCAGAAAAGTGATTACATATTTTTTGTGGAATAACTGTGTGACTCATTCTTTGTTCTAGGACACCATGAATTGCTTTAATGTGTGGCCAGGTTACAACTCAAGACATGGCTAACCAGTTACACGCATCTTAAGATTAAAGGGTTGCAGGGACCCTGAAGACAAATAGAACTCTTGGTACTTTCATAATCATTTTATCCATATGAATGGTAGGAGTATGCATTTCACCAATGCCGCGCTGGCTAGTGCCATGATCTACGTGACATATATATAACAAAGGCAACTTTTGAAGGTATCTGACATTCCTACTGTTATACAAGCAGACAAACATGAATTTCCTTTGCATATCACTTACAAAACTGACATGAGGCGATACCTTCATTACCTTTTTCTAATATCTAGTCATTTAACAACCCACCCCCCAGAGAAGTTTGGCATTCCTCAAGACATGCAAGAAAATTTTCTTCTGCCAAATGGAAATAGCCAAAACACAGAGCAGAACACTGTTTTTTCTCTTTTTTATTCAAATAGTTAAAATCAGCCACAGAATTTGGACAATCGTACTGAAGATGATGGAAAATACTAGTACCTGGTATAGTGCCAGACCACCACATATTTCATTTTAGATCTGAGTCTAAAATGTTTAAAACTGCTATCTGAGTCTCAATAGCGAATAGTTAAAGCAGAGCTTCTGATACCTGAACAAGTGTCCTCTGCTTTTGTAAATATGAATTCTAGAAGCTTGTATACTTGATGAAGGAACATACCCACAGTGCCATCCTACACTCCAGGTGCAGACTGGAAATGTTGTGGAGAGAAGATACAAAGCTTCACAACAGCCGAACTGAAAGAATTTGGGAAAGTATCAGTGTCCGTGTCAACACTGCAGAAGACAGCACCAAAATACGTAACGTTTACATCTTGAAAGTATTTTCACTACCTACTAAACAGAAGTAGTGACAGGCAAGAATAACAAGTATCAAATCCAATTTAAATTTTATTTATAAATATTATGGAGACTACGCACCGTAAGCGCTCTTGTAGTTGATGTTGTCAGTGCATGGGAAATTGCAGAGACAACCCTGGAAAGGTTGTTTTCCATAGTGACATCTGTTGGACTTGGCAGCATATTGTATCCTCTGTATGTTCTGAAATTAAACAGTCATACAGTTAAAATGGAGGATTATAAAAGCAAGTCATATTTTGTTAGAAGTGAATTACAGGTTAAAGGCAAGTTGCATGACATTTTAATGAGTCAAAAATACATGTTGCATTTCTCCTGGAACAAAGCTTTTTACAGGGTTTCCTCGCTTTATGTGGGTTAGGTATGTGCAAATTCGCTCTTATGTGATGACCCTTTTTATACCAAAATTCATTACATGCCAGGTAAATTCACTCGTATCCGATCGGTGTGGTAGAAGCCTGCAGTCAGCTGCTCTGTACATTGCATTGTGGGAGTGATGTGTGCTAAAATATAGTCTCCTAGGTGGATCTGAGCTCCTTGCTCATTGTCTGCAACAAGTGTTTCTGTAGTTGCCATCCCCATTACGATAGTGCCCTAATGCTTGTATGTAATGTCTGCTGTTGGTGAGTACCAAAATAGTTTCGTAAAAGTGGTAGAAATGGGTCTGGGGGTCAGTACAGTCATGGATTTGGAATGTATCCTTATTTGATACATTGTAAAGTGCATTCCCTTTATGCAAATTTGAGTTATGCACCGTTTTCCAGGAACACATGTACAGAATAAAAGTAAGGGAAACCTGTATTCTGGAACCCTATAAACATACAAGCCCATTGTCCCATTTTAAGTACTTGTGGAATACCAAAAAATAATACTTTTATACTTTTCCCCCCCAGTACAATCAGGGGGAAGTTAGGACACACAAGACTAGGCTAGTTTAGTTAATTATCATTCAAGCTGCATGTGTAAATAACCAATATACACTTTTTCCACTTGGAAGGCTGTTTTAGGCTGTGTGTGGTTTAGATTTTCAATAATGTAAGAAATGGCTAACTTGTGGCAGGGGAGAGAGTAGCTCTTCGTTTAAATTAAAACAACAAACACATAACTACTCCCTCCCCTATCACAATTTAGCTATTTCCACAATTTAGCTATTTCCTATATTGTTGAAAATCTAAAACACAAAAACAGCACTGTGTTTATATATGTAAACTAGAAGGTCAACTGGCTAAACAGTTTAGTCTACTTTAATTATCAGAACATGAGTGAAGTGGAAAAAGTAACTGGACACTGTAGCTGACAAAGGTAATTACACTGATAGGGTTAAGTTTTAATCATTTTAAATTAAATTTAAGGGAATATGAGCAATGGCATGGATTTCACCTGCTTTATTAATGTAAAGGAAAAATTATTTTGAAGTATAGACCCCAACATTAGGATCCCATATAAAAAGGTTTATTTTCAAAGGCAGTAAGAATATGAAGCTCTGATTAACTTCAGAATGAAGGTACTTATCTCATAAAATAAAGCTGTTTTTTCATTTGATGCTCAGAGCCCCGGTTCTGGAAATACTTGCTGGAAATAAGTGAGGACACTTACTCATGGTGCATCAAGTTAAGTACATCCTTAAGTCTGTGCATGATCAGGGCCTAAACATGCATTTGAATACTTCCAGCATAACTTGAAATTGAACAGAATTTTTCAAATTTTGGCCTCAAGTTACAGGCAAAGTAAGCCATGTACCATACCTGGTGATAGTGCTCACTGCGAAGTGAGATGGAGGCTGAGTCTCATGCATCAGAAGTTTCAGGTAGACACTGCTTTGGTCCCTTGCTACTGCCACTACTGGATCAGCCTGTCCTTGGTCACAGCTATAAAACAGCTTTGGAACAAGCCTTAAATAGAGAAGAAAACAGATCCAGTACGCAACATGTTAAAAAAAGAAGGTATTACAAGAATTATACGAGGTATGTACAATTTAGACAGAAGGCTTATATAAATTTATGATAACCCTTAAAAATCAAAATCGACTGAAGTCCCATTAGCCCTTCAGGCCCTTCTCTTTGTACCAGACACTTTAAAGTTTTCATTTTTCTGATCTTATTCCTAACCTTATACATTCAAATCATGATCCCAAATATTCAAGTCAGCACTACTAATGGAATCACTCTGGAGGCAGGGAATTTAAAAAAAGAAAAAGAAATAATCCACTACAACAGGGCTGTCCAACTGACAGCATGTGGGCCACATGCAGCCTAGGAGAGGTTAGTGGAACCCCCTGAGAGCTCATCAGCTGCTACTCTCCCCATCACTCTGGTTGCAACAGCAGTTAGAGTCTTCAGACTACTCCTCCCTGCCCTGGCTTCTGCATCCTGTGCCTGCCACAGGGGACAGTGAGGCACAGTATGACATGGGTATGCATGGGGCACTCAGGGTAAGGCTGTGAGGTACAACATCTGGAGCACCCACATGAGGTTGCTGCGGGG